CAACACCAACACCAACACCAACACCAACACCAACACCAACACCAACACCAACACCAACACAACCAACAAACAAACAACAACAACAGCAACAACAACACCAAAGCCACAACCACAACCACAACCACCACAACCACAACCACAACAACCAGAACAACCACAACCACAACCACAACAACAACACCAACAACAGCCACAACCACAACAACAACACCAACAACAGCCACAACCACAACCACAACCACAACCACAACCACCACAACCACAACCACAACCACAACCACAACAACCAGAACAACCACAACCACAACAAACGCAACAACAACCAGCAGCTGCAGCAGCAGCAGCAGCACCAGCACCAGCACCAGCAATAACAGCAATAACAGCAACAGCAACAAGAAGATGACAAGGATAACCCTCTAGGACCGTCATCCTCAGTCACCCTCAGGTTGTATCACAAAATGGCCCCCCTTCCCAGTGACCCCAAAATCATGGCGCGGTTCGCTTCGTCCACATGACGTTCGATGTGTCTCCCATCCTCCAGCCGGGACCGATGTGTCTCCCCTGGGCTGGAGACAGCGTCCAGCGTCGGACAGCGGACACCGTGTGGGACCGAGGACGGGATCCATAGGTCAAATGAGGAGCCTTCCACACTGCTGTCAATGAAACTCCATGATGGAATCACGCTGGAAAAATGAGGAGGTGAAGTGGTGCCAAGCGTTGGGAGAGCGTGAGAATGCATCTGAGGCTAAAACGTCCTCTTGAAGGAATAACTCCTGTACCAGTCGCTACACAGGGAATATTACACCAATACTTGTCCGGCATTAAAGTTCATCTTCCATCTCAACGGTGTGCCCGGTCAAGATGGCCCTCCCCCTCCGCCCCGGTGACCTAGGATCTGGGTGAAGCCACCGTGACGTCACTTAGGCTGGTACCCGCTTCAGAGGCCCTGCGAATGGCAGGCTCTGCGGTCTCGGCGCTTCGTGCTGAGACGACTAGATGTTTAGATCAGGCGTTTTGGACCATTGTCAACTGCTGTACCCGCGGCCATGAACCTGGACCCGCGGCCTTCTACTCTTTCTTCGACTGAAACGCTTCACTGGGTGCATGTCAAGAGTATACGGAAACTCATGAACCGATTCGCTCACGCTCCTCCGACTTCGAGCGGGGCTGGGCACCAAGTGAAGCTGCAGTGAGTTCTCCTGGCCGCTGTGCTGGCTCAGCCATGGACTCAAAACTAAGGGTTACTATGAATATTATGAACATGTTGAAAAGTATAGTAGGGGGCCCTTCAAAGCTGCTGCCCGGGTATATATATATGTATACATATATACCGTATAGTACAGTTATAAGTTATATGACTATAGTTGATGACTCTCGTAGAAAAAAACACCGCAAAACTGACCACAACCACGGGACGCTGTTTTGGCGAGGCGAGGGGAAGCCGACCCGACCCGTGCGGAGAAGAAACACCTTCTGAAGCACCCCCATTGAGACAAAGTGTTCCATGTTCTCCTTGTTTTTCTCATCTTGCGGGTCTCAATTAACGATGATTTTTTGAGGCTCCAAATTAGAAGGCATCGGAATCACAAAGTAATAACTGCCAGTACGATGGTCCTTCCTTTCCTTTTCAAGAGATTCACATACGACAACACAACTATATACATACAAGTTCTATACATCCAATTAAAACTACCAAACATAGTTCTGGGTCAATCTTATACCTATGGCAAGTATTAGTATGTCGAACCTTTGCCTACTTTACTGATTCTACAGTTGCGCATCTCACCCTATTTCACCCACCGAGTCGGTCCCCTTTCTCCGGTCACCGACAGAAGAACGAACGAAAGCACACCTTGGGGTCGGTCCACCTCCAATCGGCTTCCCCTTGGCGTCACAGGAGCGAACATGTTAAGCGATCGGATTCATCGGAGCGTGAACACCCATATATGTTGGGTTCTATCCGACCTGTAACAGTGGATGATGGTTAGTAGAGGCCTGGACAAAGTGACAAAGTGACAAACCTAACATATACGTCATAGATGTTGAAGGCTTGTTGGGCTGACCAAAACTAACGTCTTGAGTTGTTTTCGCTTGGAGGGAAAGAAACTGCCTTCGGAGGCTGTCAGGTGCCCCTCTGAAACAAATGTTTTATTGCGATGGCCATTCCAATGGGTTTCATCGTTGCCGTCGTTCATCTGGCTCCCAGCTTTGGAATGTTGGTGGCTATACAGGACATTTAGGTTCGATGTTCATTGATGTTCCATGCCACATGACTCAACGTGGAATGGTTACCAACTTGCCGAACCAATTGTTGAGCCCGGGACTGAGACGAACAAACGAACATGTTGGTCGCCAATGAGGGTCAGTGTTTTCGATGGATCAGATCATCAACCAAAATGATCCAAGATCAGTGTCCTGATTTACATGTTGCGTTGACTTAAAACCCATAAAATTCACATTTCCTCACCGACTCTTCCAGAATGAAGGAATGAATCAGTTTCTTGCCACATAATAAAGCAATAAAACGGATATGAAGAGGCGTGCAAAGGCGTGGAACAGCGTTTCTCGGCTCAACAAAACAGCTTTTCTGATTCTACAAAACCCCAGCGGTTTGGGTGTTCGGTCTCACCACCTGTGCGGCTTCGTTCGATGGATTTGTCGCGTCGCGCGACGCGCAGGCGCAACGGCGCAGCTCACTCTTCTCATGTCACGACTTCGCTCCGCCGGTCGCATCTCCACTTTTCAGCAGCTTCGCTGTGGCCGCCTGGGCAATGGGCGATGGCAAAGAAGGAATAAAGGTCTACCGCACGCAGAAAAAAATAGACCAATGAACTCAGCGATTCTCGGTGATTCACATGTTAAGATGGTTGATCCTCTTCGAAAAGGTGCAAATCTTCCAAAAAAACATCCTATACAATGCGTGGGCCTTGGCCATCTGGCCTTTTCAAACACCTTGGGACAAATGTAGTAATGTAGGCCCGGCTGTAGTCTAGTGCCCTCAAGAGACACTAGCTCGAAAAACAACAAGGGCCATTGCATGGTTCAATATATAATTACTATATGTATCATATATATCACGGATCCGGAACTTGTTCAAATGCAATTCCCCAACAAATCCGTAAAGACGCATGTGCACTGTACACGCTCTTATCCATCCTCTGACCCCGACCTCTGACCCCGACCTCGCCTTGGCCTTGGCCTTTCGCTTCCGGCCCTCTGGAGGTGCCAACTCGGTGAGGATGTAGCACTGCGCCTGCGAGGACCGTTGCCAGGTCTCTGAGACAGGAAGATCTGGATGGCTTTATCAAATGCCCCCTACCAGAATAGCGTGCACATCATAGTGATCATATAGTATCAGTATATCATAGTACTAGATGGACCATCATCACAATGTGTTTTGTCGAGAAGGAAGATCTAGAAATCACCACGTAGATTTGAGGTCCTCTCACATCATTCTGCTTGGCACTTGGAGGGTCAGGTCTCAAGGTGCTCCACTCACATCAGGAGCAAATCGTTTGAGTTCAAAATGATCTCAGAGCCAGCAAGCCTCCAAGAGTGACACCACTCCAACCCAAACAGCATCAAACAGCCGCTGGTCTCCCCCCTCCTGCCTCTTGCAACACCTGCATCTCTCCCGCCCGCACCGCCGCAGACATCCCAGCACGGCCATCGCGTGCGTTGAAGGGCGGCTCGGTGGCACTCGTCAAACGGGCTTTGATCTTGGCCAACAGGCCCAGAAGGCCTCAAAGGGGAAAGAGTTTGCCGAGTGTGCTCAGGTTTCTCGAAGGCAAACACGTAGCACACACAGAAACTATGAAGACGGTGGTTCTACCACCCTCTGTTGTGATCCTTCTAAGGCCTGGATAACCTTTAACTTGAGGGACATTACTCGTATTTTGGTTTGAGGGTCTGGACATGAGCTGCTGTTATCATTTGGTCCAGAGTATTTGCAAGTCTTGAGTCTTGAGGTTCAACTGTAGCTGTCCCTTCCTTCTAATTCAAGTCTTTTCAGATACCATCTGTGGTTTGAATGATCTTCAAAGCCGGTCAACCCAAGGTCAACATTGTTGAACCTGCATAACCGGCTGGTAATCCAAAAAAATGTCTGGATGAGCGAACTCATGGGGTACAAGTGTTGATTCATTTGGGCAAACTCATGGGGAGCGTAAAGAGACGGAACACCGGTCAAGAGACGCAAAGAACATGGGGTGGATACCTCCTTCACAAAGAGCGCGCAAAAGACCCAAAAAGCTTTTTCCACGAGAGATATGTCTGGGCCAGAAGAGTCCGTCTTCTGTTCCCTGTGCCTTCATCAAGGCTTTGGAAGGGAGGGCTTGCGCCAACTCCTTAAAATCTTCGAAAACTGCATCTGCACCCAAGAGTTCGCATTAAAAAGGACACTTCCTTGCTGATTTCTTCTCTCATGGGCCCAACGTGACAACTCAGGACAATATCATCACACTCGGAGAATCAACTCTGGGGCCAAATCCAACTGAGACCACACCGCAATGCTGCAACGCAGCTCAGTCACCTCAGTCACATTCGAAAAAAGGGTGCGTCCCGGGTCCAGGTTTGTCTTGGTCCATGACATGGCCGTGGATTCTGGATTCACTCTCGGATCGGTGATCTATTGGTGTGTCTTGCAAGGAAGACAACAACCCAGTTGTAAATAAAAGAAAGGGCATGTTAGACCACCACCCCAATTGGTGCTGGGTTTATCATCACTATATTACCATGGTGGAATTGCACGAATAGCCTAGCTGGTGTCCCAGTTTCTCTGTCTCGTGACGCAACCCCCTTGGCAGGTCAGCAGAAAGTCAAAGAAATGTCGTAGCTGTGACAGGAGACCATCTGCCTCTGTACGCACCCTGGGCCAGTCTTTCGGGGTCACTATTGTGAAAGAAAAAACCGATCTGGTGCGCGCCATGACACCGCCGAACAAAAAAACACAAGACAAACATGGCCAACTCCGGTCTTCCCCAGTCTTGGCCCCCCCTTTTCTCCCTTCGGCAATCCAGTGAATCCAGTGGTCCCTGTATGACCAGCTCTCGCCTGCATCACTTCAGGGCGAGCTCTTCTTCACCTTGATCACTGGCACCAAGCCGCCCGCCACGGCAGCCATGAGCCCGGCAGAGATCAGGGCCGCCTGGAGAGAGCTGGCGGAACTTAGTACACCTGACGCCTGACACCGAAACTTCCAATAAATACGAACTTGTATTGTTGCATACTATGCATATTGTTACTGTGAGTGAGGGACAGTGAGGGATTGTCAAAGACATCAATACACACAGTATTATGTTTGTTTGCTTTTTCATGAGATTGTGCTCACTCAAGTGACTCAAGTGCCCTTTTTTGGGTTGAATGCCCTTCTTCCTGCAACTTCCACTCATCCTTTCGGCAACTCACAAATACTGTCGAGATCTGTCTCTACTCCCCTGCAGAGGGAATTGCTGGGAATGGACCAAACCAACGACACTGAACCAGCGCCTGCATGTTGTAAGGACCATGGAGCTCCTTGGCTGCCACACCGCCCAAGCAGAAGAACAGGGTCCCCGCGGCAAACAGGAGCACCTCGCAGTGCTGAGGAGAAGAAACCGGTTGGAAGCAGGGTCTGCCAGGGTTGGAAGCAGCGTGTTTGCAGAGTCAGTTCTCTTCATCTCAATCTGAGAGGATTGACAAACACTTCTGAAGCCTGGGAAAATGGAACCATTTCAAAGTTGGGATGCTTGGCTTCAGCCAAGCCACTTGGCCACCGGCTTGGCTGAATCTTGAGGTGAACACTTCAGTCCAACAGGTACTCCAGAATAGGCAATATTATGATTTTGCCGGAATCTATAAATTTGAAACGATGGTTTGTACACCAAAAACGATGGTTTTCAAGTAATTACATTGATTTCTCCTTAACCGATTCTGGGACAATATATAACTTATGCTCTCTGCGACTTTCAGAGTCGCAGGCTGGTACCAACCCTGGGACAGTCCAACAGGCAACGAACGATTGATTAGCTTCGTCTGGACAAACTTGATGCTTGGAAACGAGCGAAACATGAAAAAAACATAAAACAAGATGGAGCCCACGAACCCGAATGCAAGCACGTTCAAAAAGCTACATATGTCCAAATGACACTCTTGTAGGACACTCTTGTGGGACACTCTTGTGGGTCACTCTTGTAGGAAACTCTTGTGGGACACTCTTACGGGACACTCTTACGGGACACTCTTGTGGGACACTCTTGTGGGACACTCTAATAGGAAACTCTTGTGGGACACTATTGTAGGACACTCTTGTGGGAGACTCCTGTAGGACACTCTTGTGGGACACTCTTGTGGGGCACTCTTGTGGGACACTGTTGTAGGAAGCTCTTGTGGGACACTCTTGTAGGACACTCTTGTGGGACACTGTTGCGGGACACTGTTGCGGGACACTCCTGTGGGACACTCATTTGGGACACTCTTGTAGGACACTCTTGTGGGACACTCTTGTGGGACACTCTTGTGGCACACTCTTGTGGGACACTCTTGTGGGACACTCTTGTGGGACACTCTTGTGGGACACTCTTGTAGGACACTCTTGTGGGACACTCTTGTAGGGCACTCTTGTGGGACACTCTTGTGGGACACTCTTGTAGGAAACTCTTGTGGGACACTCTTGTGGGACACTCCTGTAGGACACTCTTGTGGGATACTCTTGTGGGACACTCTTGTGGACACACTCTTGTGGGACACACTCTTGTGGGACACTGTTGTGGGACACTCTTGTGGGACACTCTTAAGGGACACTCTTGTGAGACACTGTTGTGGGACATTCTTGCGGGACACTCCTGTGAGACACTCATTTGGGACACTCTTGCGGGACACTCTTGTGGGACACTCTTAAGGGACACTCTTGTGAGACACTCTTGCGGGACACTGTTGCGGGACACTCTTGTGGGACACTCCTGTGGGACACTCATTTGGGACACTCTTGCGGGACACTCTTGTGGGACACTCTTGTAGGACACTCTTGTGGGACACTCTTGTGGGACACTCTTATAGGACACTCTTGTAGGACACCCTTGTGGGATACTCTTGTAGGACACTCTTGTGGGACACTCTTGTAGGACACTCTTGTGGGACACTCTTGTAGGGCACTCTTGTGGGACACTCTTGTGGGACACTCTTATATGGACACTCTTAACTCTCTTGTGGGACACTCCTGTAGGGAACACTCTTCGTACGAGACTTCCTCGAAAAGTCACGCTGCGAGGCTGCAAGACGAGCGTTTCGTACGAGACTACTTCCTCCAAAAGTCACGCGTCAAGTCTCAAAAACGAGCGTTTCGTACGAGACTTCCTCCAAAAGTCACACGTCAAGTCTCCAAAACGAGCGTTTCGTACGAGACTTCCTCCAAAAGTCACGCTGCGAGGCTGCAAGACGAGCGTTTCGTACGAGACTTCCTCCAAAAGTCACGCGTCAAGTCTCAAAAACGAGCGTTTCGCACGAGACTTCCTCCAAAAGTCCAGCGGAAACACCCATCGGAGCACCCACATCACGCAGCCCTGCCACGCAGTTTCGCGATTCCAGCCCCTCCAAACAGCATCCGCTCACACGCCAATCCCAATGTGACAGCGACATTCACAACTCACAACCTCACGATTCCCTGCGCACGATTCCCTGCGCCTGCCACAAGAATCGCACTTCCACGCCTCAAAGCCCGCACAAAGTCCTGCGCCTGCCACGAAAAGTGACAATATCATCTCATGCGAGCTTCAAGAAAATTTGCACCACACCGCACGTTTGGAATGATTTCGACCCGTTCTGAGCACACTCCCATCCACCAAAATCGCCATTTCAGCTGAGACCTGTCACAAAAACAGAGCTTCGATGCCACACCCTGCAATGCAAATCCCAATGGCACGGCCACATCCAACACCCCAAAAACACGACTCTCCAAACGCTAATCCCAATGGAACTGCGCAGCAATCTGCAGATCTCACCAAACGCTGCGCCTGTGCAGCGAAACGCATCACGTTGCTTGCGCGACATGTCTTTTTCATGCAAATCACAATGGAATAGCGGCGCAAACTGACACGTGACACATCCATGAAAAGTCACTTGCAAAAGCTTCCCCCAATGGCAGCGCCTTAGCGCTCTACCGCGAACGGTTGCGAACGGTTGCGAACGGTTGCGGACGGTTGCGAACATAGAAACAACGGGTCGCGAACAAGGCTCTACCCCCAGACCCCCAGAGTTAAACGAGAACCCTTCGCTACGCATTCGGGAAAACACACAAACATATGATGATATATGGCCGTATGATGCCATATTATGGATGTGTATTGAAATAGGGAGACCTCGGGAAGAAGGGAAATAACATCAAAACCCATCGGATGGGGGGTCTCCCTATCTAATATGGCCCAAAAGCGAGAGAACCGAACCACATGACATGAATCCACCCTCTTCAACTCGCTCCTCTCCGGCCTTCAGCAAGGTGGGAGGGTTCTCTCCGCTCACCAACGCTCGGGCCCAAACGCCCAAACCGGTGCCCACATCAGTGAGGTAGCCCGTGAAATGGGTGGTGCAAATGGGCAGCGACAAGCACCTCAGAGGCGTGACAAGCGCGCGTGGATCTTGCTTGGTGGGATGGGTCTGCATTTTGCTGGTCTTGCCTGGGAGAAGTTCAGGACGTCCGGTAATGCTGTTCCATATGCTTCGGGAGTTTGCGACAGGAAACTTGACGTTCCTTTTCTCCGTAACAAACAGCGGAACAGTTCCGCGCAGTGTCTTCAAGGACCGGACCTACGGACCACCAGTTCTTCGAGGAAAGCAAACATAAGTAGTAACAACATGGAAAACACATAACACACAGAAGCATGGAAAGGAAAGGGATCAAGGACCAAACCTTGAGTCCTTAAAACCCATCCTTTAAGCCTTTTTATCATCTCTTTTCACTGCCTTTCTTTGGCTGGATCCATTTGATCCTTTCGTGTTTTGTCGGGCGAAAGCGCCTCTGGTGATCAATTCTCATGCCTCTGATGCGTTTGAAACCCAAACGATCCCAAATGTCTAAACTCAACATCTCAGAATTTCGTCAGTGATGGGTAGTACTAGTGCAATCTAGTGCATACTAGTGCAAGAACGTGTAGCTTAGTTCGTAGGACCTAATCAATGTTTAATAGTCTCTGACATTCTTTGATTTTCTTTGTATTTACCAGGTACTGTATCTCTGTCACACCAAGCGGATACCTGATCGAGTGTTCCTTATGTTTGCAGCAAATGAAACTCACATCCCTCCAGAGATCTCTCGCCCTACCTGCGGGTGATGCCATTCTGAATGCCCTGGGAGAAGGCAAACAAAAGCAAGCATTCGGAGGTGTTGTCGTTGCCCGCACCACCGTGCTCCTGGCAAAACCCAGAAAGTGCTTGTGGACCCACGACAAGGGATGGTCAATAGACAACCGTTCATCAGGGTCTCCTAGAAGAGACTTTTCGAGATGGTACGACTTGGAGTCTCAAATGTGGAGATCTGACGAATTGCGAGGTGAAGCTCAAGTCGGGCGTTTTGTCGGTCTCCAAATGTCTCGAGTACTCCCTCCGCCAGCTGATGCAGCAACAAATGATACTTGAACACGAGTGATTGATTCCTGCTACCAGTAGCTGCTGCTACTTCCTGCTAGTTCAATCCACGTCTCCAGTTGGTGCAGTTGATGTTGATTACCTCAGGTTGGTAGGTGATGTTGAGGCGGAATCAACAGCGAAAAGCCGCTGAAACAACGGAAAAGCTGCTGCCCTGAATGAGTCGAACCTGCCTATCGGCTAAGCGATGTCATCTGCCGAGGTGCAAATGTCGAAGAACCACGACCGACGAGCCATGATCGGTATGGCGATCTGCTGATATCTGCAAGACTGGGACAGAAACCGGCATCAAAACGCATAGTTAACGCCAAACAAGAACCAGTGGGAACCTCAAATCATCTGAGAGAACCTCAGCCAATAACATGCGAAAAGCATTGGAAAACACAATCAAATGATCCTTATAGGAGATTTTGGAAGTACGCACCACGAGTTTGAGATCGCACCACGAGTTTGAGATATATACTCTTGACCTTTGAAACAATACGACGTAAAAACGGCGAAACCGCTCCTTGCAGTAGTGCACCATGCATCCAGCCACCACGGCCAGGGCTGCGGCCAAGAGGTTGGGGGAGTAGCGGCCGGAGTAGATCAACTCGCAATCTGCCTTGGAGTAGCCCGCAAAGAAGGAGCCCAGGCCTTGGTTTTCCGCGTCCGTTTCGTCTGTTCCTTGGGTCCACCGATTTCCGGTGCCCGCGTCCAAAGGGCTGAAAAAGCCAGGGAAACTAAGTGAGCTGGACCCCACTCAAGAACATCATGATCTTCTGTAACGACTGATCAACATGCACATACCACGCAAATCTGTGGACGACTCACTAGAGTTGGAACCTGTGCCAGTCGACTTCATGGAACCTGTGGAACCTGGGTCGGGACCACAGGTCTTGTGTCATTGTTTGATGTGTTGCTTTCAACAGCCGGACATGTTCTGAAGTCCTTTCAATGCTGTGGAATCGACCATGATCTGCCCATGGTCTTTTGCAGACCCAGGTCCAGTGGACCTGTTCCAATGGTCCAGTGGACAGAATCGAAAAGGGACCAAACCACAAAAACGCATCAATTATGCTAAATGACTGTAGTGCATACTAGGTTACTAGATCATACTGGCTGAGCGAGTTCTACATACTGGCTGAGTTGGAGCCCAAACGCAGCTCACAAGTCCTCAACAGGGCCGACACCTGCACACTCTTTTTATATCCCGATCAGTTGGACATGAACAAACGTCTTTTGCGTGGGCACGCATGTAGGATTCACAAGCAAGACACACATAGTATGAATCACAAGCAAAAAGGAGGTCGAGGCATCAAGAGATAAAGGTTGGATATATGACCAGTAACGATGACGATTGTTAGGTTGCAGGCCCTGTTCAAAAATAGTGATTTTCTTGCATACCGACTGTTACAGGTTTACTGGGCGTACACTTCCGGCGTATCTCGACCTAAGTCCACCGACCTCGTAGAAGGACATCTATAGTATATGGGCGTAAGCCGTAATGACCAAAAAAAAAGGGTGTACGGCCGTACGGCCAAAGAAATTTGGCCATTTGTAGATCCAGGTTCATAGAGGTATTTTAGGATCCATAGTAATAGTATCAAATACGAGTTGGACCAACAAACCCTTGATATCTATAGGCCTTCTCGTGCCGATAGTGGGAGGTAACCCGTTTTTCATCTGCCATGTCGCCATGTCGATCCGATCGTCCTTTGTGCCAGGAAAGCACGGATGGTTCAAACGGACCCAGGCATACCCAAAGGGTGGATCGGTAGAATTAAGGACATCAACCATTCCTTCGGACGGTATGAGTAAGATGGTGTAAGGCTTCGGACGTGTCAACAACCCAGGCTTCAGGGAACATCTTCTAACACTTACTGATTTGCCCAATGGTATAGGACCTTCAGTCCGAAGTAAGAACTTTGAAGGATGCTGAAGTTTAACTCGCTTCATCCGTCACCGATTTCGTTCGTGACATGGTCAGCGCTGCCGAACCGACGCACCGAAACTTGGAACACGCATGGACCATGAGGAACAAGCTGCCGTTGGTTTTGTGGCAGAACCCCAAGAGATCTGAAGACCTGGAGACCAAGACCTAGAATCCTTTTACATCCTTTTACCATTGATGTCAAATGAACCTTGATGTCAAATGATCCTTTACCGAGAACCATTTTGTCCTCGTTCAAAGACAATGGCATCTTTGGACCTTTGACATCCTTTAACCCTTGTTCTTGAACGCTGGATACTAGTTACTAGAGGAAACACTCAAACACATACTACATGACATACATTAACTAATCCGACCTCAATCTTCCCACCACACCCTCGGATCTTCACCCCAGAACGAACGAGTCGGTCCGAGAACCGACAGAACTCACCGGAAGGGCACGGTCGCCAGTCCCAGGAGTCCCAGGCACAGAAGGTGGCCAAGAGGTGGCCGAACTTCGCGCCGCCCGCCATGATCAAACGTCCCGTGTGCGACGTGTTGCCCGACTGATGAGACACCGTCATGCCTGCGTTGCTTCGCGAAGTACACGGTCCCGCAGGGGAGAGACGGACCATGAAGGTGGATGAAGTGGATGGGAAGGTGGATGGGAAGGTGGATGAAGTATAGTGGATCCAGTGTTTTGGGGGGGCTTTCGAAAAGGAAGCTGCGCTACTCTAGGACCTTTTTTCGCTATTCCAGAAGGTGAAAGCTGGTGCTTCTTTCATAGATGTCCACAGCAGTGTGATGCCGAAGTGAGAGCTGCTAGCACGCAGTGGACGCTGCGATCATGTGGCCTCTCTTGATTTTGGAACCATGGGTAATTAGGGTTGAATGTCGATCACTTCAGGTTTTCGGTCCGAAAGGTGTTAGGAAAACCTAGACCAGACCACCCACTCATGTGTCCGGTCGTCGACTCGACCTGTCTTCGCCTGTCCTTTCATGTCTTAGTTCCCAAAAAGGTGACCTGATAGTTGGTAGTATAGTAGCGTCCTTGCTCCTAGTATTACGGCCAGGAGCCCCTAGTAGCGTCCTTGCTCCTAGTAGCGATGCCAGGAGACCCTAGTAGCTTCTTGTTACTAATAGTTGAAGTGCATCACCACTGGGACAACTTCAAATCCTCAAGGTCAGCTGTCAACCTTCTCATTTTGGAGGAGCGTCATCATAGGTCTCTTGAACCAACTGTGGAGTTTACAACCAAGCCACGAAACGTTTGGTTTCTCCGGCAGAAACAAAAGACTTGATCGAGGTGTTTTGGTTTGCTAAGATGCCCATGTCGATGATGGTCAAGGCGTTCACCAGGCCGCTGGTGAAGCACAACAAGTTCTGAATCATCAGGAAGCTCGCCTGAAAAAAAGGGTATATTGACCCCCAAAGAGATAGACAAGTAGATCCCCACTAGAAATGTTGTGGACACCGTTTCTATATATATATGTCTATCCGTTTGTGGATCACTATAGTCCAATCCAATCACCTACTGAGAAGGCTGTGGTCAAGCTGACTGTTGGCAACATCCCGAACACTAATTTGACTATTTCACACTGTGCTATATATTATGAATATGCACAGGACAGGTTGGAATATCACAGTCGTCAAACATCCTCTGGACATACCAAAGACATTCAACTTTGAACAGAGAACACAAACAACCATTTATGGTCTGATTTGGTGATTCCAACACATTTCACCACCTTCGACCCACACAAAGAACTTCGACTAAATCACCTCTACAAAGCACGAAGAGAGCACAAAGTACGAAGGAACTTTATTGAACACCTTGATCTTCAAGCCGGACTATGCAAGGAGACCCTAAATGAACCTATAGTTCTAGTCAACTGACAGAGCCAATGTTCGTAAAGCCCCACCGACGCCCCTGTAAAGCCCCAGCTGGTTCGTCTCGTCATCCGATCATCCGAGTGGCATAATCCGCGCGATCCTCAGCGTTGCCTTGCCGAGGGGTGCTGGAATTCTCGGTGAAGCAAAGAGCGCCACAAAGAGCCATTGAGAGGAAGGTGAAGAGGAGGGGGTGGTCCGCCACGATTTGCACCTGAGTTCAGAACCCCCTTGGATCAGTGTACGAACAGCAGCCACTAACTACTGGAATAACATGTAGGAGGATGCGTTATTCAATCCCTCTCCTAGACTCACACCATCAATGAATCAAACCAGTCTCTTGGCTCAAATCAAAAATGCCATGATAACATTTACATTCTGGGGTAAGGGGGCTGGATATAGAACATTGTACAAGTAGAGATATTTTAAACTAATTAATTCAGTTCGTTTTGGAATTTCCACCGCCGATTTTTGAGCTGCTGTAGAGCGGTGTCTTCTCGTTTGGTCATTCTCGGACATCGACTGCGACTCCAATCGCCCAGAGATTGGCCTGTGGTGCTGAGAAATTGGCCAAACCGTGACAGTAAAATTCGTACATGATGGATGTTGATTCAGTCCTCGATTCGCGTCCATCGACATTGTTCGTTGTTTTCGTCGTCATGCTCTCAATTGACATGACCCTATGCCAGTCCGGGTTCCAGCTGTGTGTACGACATCTGAACAATCAGAACCGCACATGGCACCCTTCCGCATCCGAGCGCCGAGTAGATCGGAGACCTACGGAGGTCGTCCAGTCAGCACTAAGGCACGCCTGAGGAAGTCTCAACGGGAGCCTCTTCCACCTTGGTGAAGGTCAACTGGGAGAAGTTCCACACCTCCGTTGCAGCGTGTCTCTGCGACACAGGTGCGTGTTTGAGTTCAAAGAAGCACTAACGGAGAGATGTACAATGTACATATAACAATGTTGTTGTTGAATTTGGGGGGTTGAGTCAATGTGTCATTTTTGTTGAGTTCGAAAGGGAGGTTTCATCTGAAGCCGTTGCTAGCTTTGAGATGAAGGCCCCTAAGGACTGTTCAGGGAGACTGATCCGCTTCTGCTTCAACACCCCAAATGATCCAAAAAAGAGCGGGAGGTCAGTCACTCTCGCAAGTCAATCAACTTAACCATTCCTCTTGTATCTTTCACAACAAACAAGCTCAACTAGACGACGGATGGCCCGAGAACGTTTAGGTGAAGAGTTATCCTGTATAAGGTATGCGTGCACTACGATGAAACAGTAAAGGAAGAATGATTGTGAGATTGTGAGAAAGAAAGTGAAAGAGACGGTGAGAAAAACATGAGATGAAAAGGACGTTCACTGGAGGAGGGAAGCAATGATGTCTTCCAGTCGATGTTCATGCAATGCAGGTGTGTCTGCGTTTTTGGGCATCAAAACCTTTGGATTCAGGTCCTGCCCAAAAAAGTCTTCGAGCCGAGTTTTGTATGTGATTTTGCAGCAAATTTGAGCAGCCTTGCAGCCACATGCTTGGGGTCTCCAAGGCGACATTGATGCAGGTTTGCGTGCTTTTGCAATAGAATGTGTGGATCCAGGTCCTGCCTGTTTGTGCAGTAAAAATGTGTGGATACAGGTCCAATCCCAAAAGAGGTCTTGATGTTTATGCTGTTTATATATATATATATATGTGCAGAACTAGAAAGACTAGAAAGAAAAATGTGTGGATCCAGTTAAAGCCCTAGAAGCCTAGGAGGTTTTTTGTTAACTGATGTTCATGGACCACTTGAAATCGCAGTTTTTGACACCTGACACTCATTTCGTGCTATCGAAGGTTGCTTTTTTGTGGTGACTCGTCGGTACCGCCCGCGGGCTAAGAAAGAAAGACAAATGCAAGAGAAAGAGAGAGAGAGAGAGAGATGTGAAGATGTGCATGTCTGGATATGTACGAATATCAGGATGTGAGATGTGCTAATGTGAAGATGTGCTCGTGTGGAATATGCAACTCCGGATATGCGCAGATGTAAGCTGTGATTATATGTAGCTATAGTGCACCGTGTATTTTTCAGAAGAACCCTTTGCTCGGGCGTTCTCGGGAACTTACTTTCTGCCACAAATATGTTTGAGATCGCTGCAGCTTTCACCCAGGCACGGTGCAAAGGCACAGGGCCAAGAGCAGTCCTCCACGAATGCGGCGAGAGGTTGGCATCACCATGATGATCCGGACTGGCGGTCTTCGGTCTTCGTGACTGGGCGGTGTTTGGGTCCGAATGGCTGCGAATGGCTGCACGGTGGGTCGTGTCAAATTGCATACACTTATGACAAAGGTTAGGCGAGAAGAAAGAACCTCTGCATATCTGAAGTGGCAATCCTTCTGGAACAATGATGATGTTTGGGTCCATGAGAGTATATAAGAAATTTAATATCACATATATAATGTTGCACAAAATGCCAATATGTCCTGCGTGCTTGTGATCCTATGTTTTGGTTTCTGGGTGCAAGTACGTATAGATGTTTGCGCCAATGAGACACAACTTGCAGAAACACAGGGCCCATGCTAATCGCAATTGGCACATGCTGCCCGCCAGGGCCCCCGTGCACACAGTGACTTTCTGGCCATGTGCACTGCCGCGGATGTGGAACTTCTTCCCCAATCTGCGCAGTCCGCCGTCCGCCGCAGGTGGGACCAAAGGGGTCAGGTCTGGGATTTGAAGGTGTTTGGACTGGGACCCAACATTTGCTGATGTACAGCTTAAATTAATGTAAATTACATAATATTAAAAATATATTTGTATATATATATATATACACTATTGATCTCACAAAGTGCTGACCAGGAAATATCACCAAGGTTTGAATTTGATTCCAAGGCCAAGGCTTTTTGTGGAGGGAAGGGCCATCTGGTGTTTGCCAGCCGGCTGGTTGTGGTTCCAAGCAAGATCAAAATAAAAGAATGAGATCAAGTCACCTATACAAATTGTGTCATTTCTTTCGGTCTGATCCTGCAAACGTTTGGCTTTGATCTATCATACATTATCTTACAGACTATCAAACGAATTCCCGAATTTTTGGACCAGATTTCATCGCTTTTGACCAGACCCGTCGTTTCGGGCGAACCAGTCGGACTGGCTCCGGGGCACATCTGCAGCTCTGAGCTGTGGAATTCGCCATAGTCACTCCTCATAGTCTGACGCTTTCGCCAGGAGTCGCGTCTTTTCGCTGCCGAAGTCATCCAACACAGCTTTTTTTAAACAAAAGACAGGTTGGACTCTGGACACAAAAGACCGTCAAAAAAGCAGGGTGGGTCGATCAACATGGGGCCTTTAATCGCAACGAACATTCCAAGAAGGCAAGCGTGCAACTACGAAGGCAGGCATTTTCAAACTACGTCTCTCTGGAAGGACAACAAAGACACTCCACCGCCATCAGCCATATCTTAGCTTATATAACAAGACCTCGACAATTGCTTCCACATGATCCAATTGACAAGTTTGTCTTTAGCGTCCATTAAGCAATCTGGTACAGAAAGTAAACGCAGTGCGTCTCCCCATTGAGGCCCATTGAGAGAACTTCTTGTGAACCTTCTGTTGGCTTCAAGGAGTTTTCCAGCCCCCATTCCCCATTTACACAAGCATAAACACAAATCAGTACAAACCAAGCTAGTCATACGTTGAGTAACCCCCACTAGTTGTCACCTATTGCAGCTTCAGTCGATGTCATTTGTTTAGATGTCTAGGGCCTAGGGTGCTGCACATGCCAAAACAACAAGAACATATACAAGAACCAAAATGGCCACTGATATGTCTGCCATCTTCAATATGGCAACCAACACTCAGTCACTCCAGAGGCAAAAGCGACAAACATACAGTCTACAGTTGGGTGCCCTTCCATTAGCCATGCGGCGGACTCATGAGCAAGACCTGCACGACCGTCAAGAGCTCAGCAGGCAAAACACCAGTGGCAGGGATTGCGTACCTGGCTCATATGAGCTCATCATCTGTAATGTCGGATGAATAATACCCCATTGTATGAAGAGGTTCTACAATCCACACAAAGGGGCTTTGTATGGAGGCCCAATACATGTCTTTTACATGCGACCACTTCACCAGTCAACCCGCTCAACCACTTCACCAGTTCCCATTTCGCGACCACTGGGACTGGGCAAACATGGGGCGACACAGCTTCAGTCCTTCTTCACTCCGCCAAGGCACACAGCTTCCGTTCCCAGCCGCTCCAGCCGCTCCGTGCACTGGCCTTCCATGGCTCGACACCTGGGACGACTTGACGTGATGGCGGTCATGGCACCAGGAGACCGACCAGTGACCTGGAAGGTCGGTCTCATCGTCGACCAGGGCTCCAGGTTGAGACCACCCAACGTCGGGGGTCGGGGTGGTGTACCATTTGATCGAGACTGTTGGCTCAGTCTTCCCAAGTACCAGTAGTGGTGTATTTAGGGGATTCACCTGTCAGCCAAACCCACTGGCCCGCCGCTGGCAAGAAAGACATATGCCGGCTGCGGGTCGCTGGGCCGTTCTTTCCATTGCAGTGTCTCTTCTTCCGGTTTTGCCAGCTGAACTCTTAAGCTTCTCATTGCATGAGCACGTCGAGCACAGCGCTCCCTTCAGACAAGCTTCGCATCTAAGAGCTCCTGGTGAGTGGCCAAAAGCACGTTGTTGGGATTGCGGCCTTGCTCAACCTGTGGACTGTCCCAGAAATTGGTGCTCGGATGATAGTAGCTAAGGCTGGGGATAGTCAGTTGACATAGGACAATTGCTGAGTAAGGATGAAATATTCACAAAAACCTTCGAGATTCTAGATGAAAGCTCCCTCAATATTTTTTTACCTGTGAGGGGATGTGATTGTGCGTGATGCTGGAACAAGCTGCAAAGCCTGTGCCACGGAAAGTTTGGTTTTTGCCCTATTGCAGGTCTGTATCAGCCAAGTCGCCTACTTAGATCTACTTAGTATGAGTAATATATAGTAATATATTATATTTGGGTCTATCCTATTACTGTACCAGTAACAGTGGATGATGATGGTCAATTAGTAAAGGCCTTTCTCTAAAAAAATGATAACTGTTTACCGACTGTTACAGGTAATAGGACAAACCAAATATTGTTTATACATATATACACGTACTTGATCATACATTCACAAGTCCGCAGTTTGTTCGCTTTGAGGCTTTAAGGGACTTCAGACTTTGTCCTTCCCAGGGCATTCCAATGGTGTTGTTTATCTCCGATGGTTGGGATTAACCTGCATTCTCACTTCTCATGTGCACTGTTTTGCTGCCAGCATAGCAACTTCAGTCTTTTGACATCAAACAGAAGACTTGCCTCCAGCTGATCGCATAACGGCGAACCTCGCCAAGTGACGAAGCCGTACGTCCGCAAGAGCTCCGCGTCGGAATGATCGCCATAGGATTTGAATCTCAGCACCGTGCCCAAAAAAAAACACACACACGATTGTTATAATATATATATATATGTATATATATATAAAACTTGTTATGCACGGACTCGGAGAGGTCGCCTTGACATGGTCGCCACAAGCACAGTACCAGGACAACAACCCACATACCCACAAAGGTTTCCCAAGACAGGTTCAGTGGGGATTTACTTTTCTGTGACCGCAACATGTAGACTCTTGATGAATAAAACCTTTCATTTGGATTGAGCAACCTCTTCATATGGGTGGTTCACTCAAATAATCAAGAGCCTACATGGTAGGGGACACCGCACTACGTGAAATCAACAACCCCGAGGCCCTTGGCTTCAGGGCCTCGGCGACCTGAGTCAGGCACCAGTCGACGCCACCGGTCATCGCCAGACCATCCATGGACGCGAAAAGAGACGGATTGATCCCACGAAAATGACTTCACGACCCCATTGATGACCCTGCTAGTGTAGGCGACTATGTGACTGATTATTCCTTAATGTGGGCCCATGGGCTCTTGATTAATAAACATAAACCCTTCCATATGAAGAGGTGTTTCAATCAACATCGCCAACGGGGAGGAATATTAATCAAGAGTCCATCTTTCTAGAGGAAAACCGTCAGACCGAGGGTGTAAACGCACGACCCGGGTCCGCAACTGGCGGAACGCAGCTGGGGCGCAACTCACTGTCGGCCGCCACCTCTTTGGACGCCCGCACCACGAAATCCTCGCCCTGAACTGGCGGGGTCGGACTCCGGTGTCCCGAACCGACCATCTGACGGGGGTTCTGTTTCAGAGTCAATGAACATAAATGTAAACGAATACAGTACATATCTTACTTCATATAATATATATATATATATACTGGTGGACTAGAACTTAGAATTGCATAAATTTCTAGGGATGCGCTGAGAATTAGGTGGCAGTTCTGCAGATAGAATAAAGGTGATATTTTTAGGCAGTTAGAACTGTTGTTTCAAGGATGATGCAGTTAGAATTAAGAATTCTGCAGTTAGAAGTAAACATTCATGCATCCAACATACATGCAACCCATGCATTTTACGAGCAAAACAAGACAAGCGCCGCCTTGCCTTTTTCAACTGCAGTCAAGCATATCCCTCCAGGTCGATGGTCTCGTAAAACTAGATCATTAGAAAACAGATTTCATGACTTCTACTTACTTTCTAATGATCTAATGACTTCTAGGTACTTGTGGTCATTCTGACCGCTGTGGTCTTTTGCATGGCTCCAGGAGGTCATTCCACGTGGGTTTACATCAATCCCAAGAGCCAATCAATGTAGTGGTCAAAGACTCGATGGACGAGCAGCATAAACCAAGGAGGGAGCCATGAAGCGGTCATTGGCTCTTCGAAGGGCTTCTTTGAAGAGCATTTGAGGAGAAGGTGGGACGGCATGTTTACCTGTGGAGGGTTTGGGCGGCACCATGCCCAATTCCAAACCCAGGGAGAAGATCCTGGGGGTCTCGAAGGCTGGAATTTGCCGAAGCATAGTCGTCAGTATCCAACGACATGCATGGGGTATACATGAATCAGCAAGCGAGACCATCAACCATGAGATCATCAACCGGTCAGGTGTTCCACAGGGAGCGCCTGGAGGATGATGGGACGGCGGTGAGGTTTGAGGAGCTGGCGAAGGTCGAGGGAATCCCAGACCCTTGGACTTATCACCCTTGAGGATTTTTGAGAGGGGAGCTATTACATTCTATGTGGAGCCATTGTGCACCCATGGGTCCAAAGATTTCCAAAGACCTGCTAGTATATGTACAGGTCTTGGGAGCCTGTGAACTCAGGAGAGGAGATACCTCAAGATGATTTTGAAGGGCAAAGTGTCTTGTGGAGGGATATAATCTAGATCTAGTGATCTAGTTTTACGAGACCATTGACCAATAGTTGCCGAATCGCGGAGTTCGTTCCTCGGAGTTGCCCCAGCTCGGATACAGTGGCACGGGACGAACCGGGATCGATTGACCGTCGCGACCCTCAAAACCAAATTGGCTTCACCCAAATTTTTAAAAGTAGGTACTCTGGGTGGGTCACGACATGAACCGGACATTGGATGAACTGTTGCAAAGATATTACATGAGGGATTGATCATGATATCTCATCCCGAAAACAAGAGTTTGTCTCGAGAAGGGTGCTGGCTCCAACATCGCATTGGTGGAACACCTTGTCCCTTTCACTCCGGCTGCATTTGTCGGCGTTGAACGGGTACCTCGTCGAGTCAGACCTCCAAGCTACCGGGACAGCTTTAATTTTCTGTCTTCTCCTGGCATGCATTGAGTGTGCTCGAGGATTCCGTGCTGGAGAGTGGTTCTTGTGGGGTTGGCTTGGGATCAATGGTTTTTTGGGGCGCACTGATGAGAACCATCTCGAAAAACCCTTCAACCTGCTTTGAAACTATCGTAGATCTCAATATGCAAACATACCGGCAGGAATCACTGCTGGGGTCTGAAGGTCACATTCACCTCGATGGTGTTCCTGTGGGGTCCGTTCATACGATCCATCAGGCACCCTGTGAGTTCTCCTTCGTGGATTTGGAGAGGAAGCTCAACAGCAAGAGCTTCAAGGCGGACGTGACCTTCCTGTTCGTCCCGGACTGGCAGAGCAAGGTCACGTCCAAGGAGGCCCAGGCCAGGCCAGATGGTGAGGATTTTTCTTGTTGCGATCAGTGTCCCATGATGTCCCATGCAACTAGTACTGGATCGCACCAGAATTAGGCATGCAGATTCGACCCAGTCGATCGAATTAACCTTCGACCTTGGACCCATATTTTCCATAAAAATTTGGAACCTGCTCTGCAACACCTGCTCTGAACCTGCTCTGGAACCTGCTTTGGAACCTGCTATGGAACCTGCTCTTGAAACTGCTCTGGAACCTGCTCTGGAACCCTGGAACCTGCTCCGGAGCCTTCTCTGGATACATGCTGCACAACCTGTGCTGCTTGAATTACTTCTGACCACTTCCTCCTTCACCTTACCCTTAAAGACTTTGCATTTGGAGCAGCCCATGTGCTGCGCTGACAATTTGGCTGTCTCTATAGTGGGACACTTCAGGTGTCACACCCCTGAAGTGGCAGATGAAGATGTCTAGTGCATCGTGCACTTCCAAGTGAAGTGAATGAGGATGTCAAAAGTGCATCCGGCATGAGGCTCAGGGCCTCAGAGTTCAGTGCCTCGTCCAACGAAATGCTCTGCACATGGATGTCAGCTGCCTAGGATTTGCTGCAGCACCTCAATGAAGCCGTCTTTGGCAGCATCATGCAGTCCAATCTTTTTCACAGGCCTGCTTTGAAGGAACTGGATCCTTCCACAGTCTCTTCCTTGACAAGCCTCCAAGCAGGCGATAGTGCGCATCACCCCTTGCTTCACATTGCTCGCATTTGGCGAAAACGCCGTCACCAGGCAGCTGGAGAACAGCATCAGATAGCACTGGAACAGCGACTCTCTAAGCGCGCACGAATTACAAAACGGTTTGATGCAATACATCGATATCGAGTTCTGCAACATGTGCTAATTATTTTTTGCCAATGCGTGTGGGCATGTAGGGACATGTACCTAAAACTCTGGTCAGGGTTTAGAACCGGAGTGGCTCAAAAATCGAGTGATCAAACATGGGGTCACCACTCGAGCTGAGCAAGAATGCTGCGAAGATGCTTTTGGCAATGGGGGCACCAATTCTTTTGCCAGACACTTATTGTGCGCTATCGATATCGAGCTTGAATATATTGATTTAGATCATCATGAGGATGCACATGGCGGACTTCATAGCGCAGAACTCACCCGGTGAAGCTCAGCTTTCCTCCACCATCAATCCAGTCTTCCGTGTGTGTCGTAATTTGTGTTGTCCTGACAAGAACTTTCGTGGGTCGCCTAAGAACCTTGATCATCTCGACCTCTTTGCTGGGATTGCCAACACGCAGACTTCATTTAGTTTTGAGCTGAGACAAGATCCAGCTTATACCACACCAGTCCATATGCCATCATATGCCCTTGCATTCGTGCCCAGGTTAAGGTGGTGAACGATCGTGCCTTGCTCAGGTCCATGGATCTGCTCCGAAGCCTGAGCTCGTGCACTTGGTTGTTCAAGGGTGGGTAGGGGCTGAATGGCCCCAGGTACAACTATGACATCAACCCGGCCAGTGATAAACAATGTTTTGACCACGCTGGGCACCCAGTGTGGGAAATGGAAATCGTTTAGGACATGACCTCGTTTTATTTGACTTGCCCCTGGGACTTGCATATATGCACCCCTACAGGTTTAAAGAACGCAGCAAATAAACTAGCTAGATATAGCTGGCCCTACTCTATGACTGGAAAAGAATGGTTGAAGATGTATGTTAGTCACCCCACATGTTAGTAAGTTATAACTTCTAATTATACGTTAATTGTAAACAATCTATATTTAGGATAAGTAAGGTATAAGTAATTTATAAGTTATAAGTAGGTGTTAAGTGTGTGTTTTTCACAGATTTTTGACATTGCGTTTAGTACGCGCGACACGCAGGCGCTTTTTTCCCTCACAGCAGTGCTCTAGTGGACGCACGTGATTCTTGCCCTTCACTCCTCCACCAGAGCACAGTAGTCCACTGAGCAGCGTCGCCCACGCAGTGCCAGGTATTCCTGGACCAAGCCCCCTGAGCTAGACCAAGCTGGTTTTTTAGATTGTTCAACGGATGCGGTCCGACATTGACCGACATTGGCCGACATGTCATATTCAGGTAGACAGAAACGCTGCATAGGTCCGACATGCCCAATATGAATGGACGCTGAGAAAAAGTACATTTAATCTAAAAGCATCTACACGCATTAATGGTTTCAATACTCGAGATACGGAACGACGGTGGACTGGCAAAGTCCCCCGTTTTCTTCCGGCGCGTGTCTTTCCAAAAAAATCAAAACAATCTCGTTGTAACTTCAACTATATAAGTAGTTGTAACTAAGATATATCTAATATGTTCTAAGTAACTAACCCTCTTATACTTTTAACTGACTTAGAAATACACTAAAAAACTTAACTTTCACTTCTATAAGTACTAACTATAGTTGCCCAACTTAAACCTTAACTTATCGAATAAAAAACCTGAGATCGAATTACAAGTTCTGTTAACGAAAATATAACTTAACTTACAACTTTGTTAAGTAACATAACTCATTTCCAGTCATAGAGAATTTGGCGATCTGCATGTAATTGGCCTGTCGGGATACTGGATCTCCCACAATCCCAAAGCCACAAGGTGTGGAATGATGAAAGCTGTGCAACTATGCCTGCAGTTGCAGCAGGATGCATTGTGCACGGCAGGTGTTCACTGCCATAGCTTTGTGTTCATCAATAGTGGAACGGCCCAAAGAACTGATGAACAACCTTTCGGGCGGGAAGACCTGTCATATATAGAGCAGGACAATTGCATAGCCACAAGGACTTGCTTGCTGCGGTTGTTGTGCGCTGTCCGATATGTTTACTTCTTCATAGAACAACCCAGCTCCAGCAGACTCTTCAATGAAGCAGCTACGTTACTTCATGCCAGTGTACCGGAGCTTTTTGCTACTTGGCTGAAACCCCAATTCAGTTTCAATGTGCATGCATGTGTGTTGGGCAACATAAATGCATGCGCCATTCACTGTGGCACCAAGGGTCCGGAACCTCCATCACATGTTGAGGTGTTGCTGCTCATCTCGTCATCCGTTTCAGCTGGTGGGATGTCTTCATCTTCGGA